CAACCTGAATGACCTAGGCAGCACAGCGCCATTTACCAGCACAAATAGTGGTGGCATTGAGGATTTGCAAGATATCCACGCGACGCTACCCTTTGAGTCCCGCGCGAAGGTCCCAAGGACGACGGCACGGGATGTTCGTCCTAGGCGGCTCATTTGCCCAAATCCACCGAAAAGACCCAGCCCGCCGGAACTAGTTCCAATCAGCGCAGGGTCACAGCAACTCGGACTGCCTCGAGGCGCATGGGACCGTTATGTTGCGGAGATGGGTGCCTACATCCGAGAGTGGAACGCTTTCAGTCGTCGACTTCTGCGTCACTTCAATGCACGCCAGGATGCGATGGAAACAGGAATGGCCCCCAACTGGATTAGTGCTGTTGGAGATTCCGCACGTATTAAGATCAACGAACCGAGTGGCGAAGACGATGAAAAAGTGGTTCATGAAGGCGATGATGATGCTGAGAGCGACGATGCTATGGTGGCCGGAAGCGCCAAAGCAGGATTCAGTGCTTATTTGCGTGCATTTGACGAGGATGAAAGAGTGCACAAACATTGGGAGGTTGCTCGCGAGAACCATCGCAAATGCATAATGGAGCTCGGCGGGATGCGCGAATGGATCTTGAATGGAGGAAAACTGATTTAGGCTGGAGAGATATACCCCTACGATTTTCTTGCCTACAGTCTTTTCGCATGGCATGGGTGTTGGCGGTTCGGCGTTCTGAAATGGTTGGGCCTGTTCTACAGTTAGGTAGCCTGTTGTGTCAGTCATGTATTTTTAGAAGCGTCTTCCACCACAGTTAGAGAGGGATGTTCTCTGGGACCGAGCACGATGAGTTGGATATGCTCACTCTACCCTCAAGGAAATCTGATATCTTGAATGCATTCCGAGCCCTAGCCCTGAGCCCCGAGCCCTTACTTCCGATATCGGCAACGTCTGACATCCGCCACCTTCCCGATTCAGCCAAGTGCCCCTCGACCAGACCGGTAACAGTGTGACCGAGTGCTGGGGCCAGATTGGCTCGCCGATGACGAGGTAAGCTGTATGGTATTGTACCAGACCCTGATTCGCTGCCTGCCGCTGAGTCACTGGGAGAAAAAAGTGAGACTCATATATTCGCCCGCGCCTCCGCGGTTCCCCCTCCGTCCGTTTTTTCGGCTTTTGGATCTTTGACAGTCGCGAAGCCTTCGCTGCTGCTCCATTCACCTTCCCTGCAAACGGGTCGGGAATTATTTGACGTTCATCAGTCAATTGACATTTCCTCAATTTGCCTCTTGAAAAAGAGCCGATTCAATTCGTGCAGTTCCGGTCTAAAACTACAGCTACACCCCGCCTCTTCATTGCAAGTACCGAAGCCGATCTTTTGACGTATACATACCATCGAAGCCATCTGGTCATTGTCAATTGATCTCTTGAAATACAACATACCGCGGCAATTGCACTAATAAGATTCTCTCTGCCACAATGGGTGTCACGATCGTTCTGGGTAGCCAGTGGGGTGATGAAGGTGGGGATTGAACATTGTTGCGGTTGATATGGACGGCATGCTGATGGACACTGTTGTCGGATAGGAAAGGGGAAGATCACAGATATGCTTTCGCAGCAAGCTACGCTCTGCTGTCGTGCTGCTGGCGGCCACAGTGAGTATAAGACCTCTCCACGGAGTTTGCAAACCTTTCTAACTTTTATTTTTCCCCTTTCGTCAGATGCGGGCCACACCATCGTCCACGACAACATTACTTACGACTTCCACATTCTTCCGTCTGGATTGGTGTCTCCCTCCTGCGTCAACCTCATCGGCGCTGGAACTGTCGTGCACGTTCCCAGCTTCTTCAAGGAGCTGGCCTCGTTGGAGGAGAAGGGGCTGAAGGATGCCGGCAAGCGCATTTTCATCTCCGACCGCGCGCATGTCTGCTTCGACTTGCACTCTGTTGTTGATGGTCTGGAGGAGGCTAAGCTGGGTGGTCGCAAGGTCGGTACCACCGGTAAGGGAATTGGTCCTTGCTACAGTGACAAGGCTGCCCGTCGGGGTGTCCGTGTTGGCGAGATTCTGGACGAGGCGATCTTTGAGCGCAAGCTGCGATCTCTGCACGCTGGATATACTGCGAGATTCGGTGATCTGGATTATGATGTCGATGAGGAGATTGGTCGATTCAAGGTATTTTAACTTGCTTTCCGGCAGGTACATGGTTTGAGGCGTTTGATGATACTGACGAAATGGAATAGGACTACCGGCAACGCTTGGTTCCCTACGTTGTCGACCAACTTGCCTTCTTCAAGCAGTACAAGGACTCGCCGAACACTCTTGTTGAGGGCGCCAACGCTCTCATGCTCGACCTGGACCACGGAACCTACCCCTACGTGACCTCCTCTTCCACCGGTCTGGGTGGTGCCGTCCAGGCTCTGTCCTTGAACCCTGCCAGCATCACCTCCGTGATTGGTGTGGTCAAGGCGTACACGACCCGTGTCGGCTCTGGTCCCTTCCCTAGCGAACAGTTGAACGAGTACGGCGACAAGCTGCAGTCAGTCGGCAGGGAATTCGGTGTCACCACCGGCCGCCGTCGTCGCTGCGGGTGGTTCGATCTCGTTCTCTGCCGCTACTCCCAGGCGATCAACCACTACACCGCGCTGAACCTGACCAAGCTGGACATCTTGGACGACTTTGACGAGATCAAGGTCGCAGTTGCCTACGTCCTGCCGGACGGAACCCGCCTGACCGACACCTACCCGGCCGACGCCGGTGTCCTTGAGAAGGTCAAGGTCGAGTACGTCACTCTGCCCGGCTGGAAGAGCAACACAATGGGTGTCAAGAAGTACGAGGACCTTCCTGCCAATGCGCGCGCCTACATCGAGTACATTGAGCGGGAACTCGGCGGTGTACCTGTAAAATGGATCGGTACCGGACCCGCCAGAGACCACATGATCTGCCGGGAGTAAATGCCTGAGCAGTCGAGCTGTCAACTGACGGTGCGGATTGATCGTTGATGACGGAGGCCTACAAAACTAGAAGACTTCCTGGGATATTATCTGTTTTTTGCTCATGTTTGTGTATATGAATGGATAGACGAATCTGATGAATATTGCTCTACTCTGACTTTTTGCCCCCCCTGCATACAACAGTATAAGCAGGCAGTCAATGTACCGTAGGTCCCATCATCATTGAGAATACACAAGATCAGCAGGCATCATTGGCCAATAAAATTAGGCAACTAATTCTATATTGAACCAGGATTGTCTTGAGACATCTCTGGTCAAAGAGGCATCTTGCCTGATATCAAATTCTATTAGCCCATAGCTTGTTCTCCAATGTCCACAGTAAACTTGTCAGTTTGTTCATGGAGGTACTAGGACATGCACCTTCACTGGTATTCGTTCGAACCTCCGTACCCTCGCACCTGATCAACAAACAGAGTTCTAAGCCTCGAGTACTGTAGAGGTTATAGCCAAAGAAGGTTTTCCCAGGGACCGCTGGGTATGGTTGTTATCGATCACCATTTACTAACTATTGGATACGATCAACCAAATACAATACGAAACTGCGCCACCTCTTGAACTGACTCATTGTTCGTACGTACAACTCGACCACATATATATATATAATCAATACCAGCATGCCCATGTATCTATCTTTCTATTTCCGATCCTTATATCACACTGTATAAACCCTACTCCAACATGGCCAAGCATCCCTGCCGACAAATCCGCGCCAAATATACCTCCACCACCATCACCGTCTACCAAGCCTACAGCCCCTCCATTGCAGCCGCCGCAGTGGACGCCCAAAAATTTGTCCCTCCGTTCTCTCGCACCCGCATGACCTGGATTAAACCCTCCTTTCTGTGGATGGCGTATCGATCCGGCTGGGCCAGGAAACCCAAACAGGAACGCGTCCTCGCCATTGAGATTACGCGGAAGGGCTTTGAGTGGGCGTTACAGCATTCCTGTCTGTCACATTGTCCTGGGCATGACGCGGAGGAGAAGGCGAAGTGGCAGAAGCGGTTACGAAGCAGTCCGGTGCGGGTGCAGTGGGATCCGGAGAGGGACTTTCAGTTTAGGCCGTTGGATTACCGGTCGATTCAGATTGGACTGAGTGCAGACGCAGTGGATAAGTACGTGGATGAGTGGATTGTTGGGATTACGGATGTGACGGAGGCCATGAGGCAGATCGAGAAATGTCTGGACGAGGGCAGGATGGAGGATGCGGCGAGGTTGGCGCCTGCGGAAGAGGTGTATCCGTTGTCTGAGGAGTTGAAGGACATTCTAGAGGCTAGTTGATGAGCTGCACCTCAGTACAATTGATTTATATCAGCTGAGCGGCGCTTTCTCTCAACGGCCATGTACATCCATCACCTGTTCGTCTTGGTTAACCCAAGGAATGAAACTGAAGCGTTGGTACCAAAGGAGATGGTTGGAACCGGGACCATGACTATAGCGGTTCAGAATGATACAGACATGACAATGCACGCGATTCTGCAGCGCAGGATGATGCCTATATCCACCTTTAGAAGGTAAGCTCAAGGAGTCAAGCAGGTGCATTTGCTACCGGGGGGGTTACACCCACACAGCTGGATGACCTTTTGTGCCCTGCACTGGTGGCGGAGCAACCTTTCCTCCCATGCCTACTATGTCACTCACAGTTGAAGAACTTTCAGAACATGTCAGTTAATGATTCATTACCTGAGTGATATCAAGTCCTCTGCAGACATTATTATAGACATCATCCACCTTCCCATCCATTTAAACTATTTCAAAGTAATAATACCTACTATATTAATCTCCCCTTTCTCCGTTGCTTCGCAAAGCGGTGTACCCTCCTCCTCTCACTCTGGCTATTGCCATGAGTCTTTAATAACAAGGGCTATCTCATCCCCTGAAGGTCAGGTAATCGAGGCTTTTACTCATCCAAGAGATCTAGCTGTATTAGGACTAGTTCAGTTGTATTCGAACATATATAATGGAACCCAACCCTGAAGTATCCATACCACTACCACAGCGTTATTTCACCATGGCTGAGAGCCAACGGCTCGTCCTGTCTACACCTGAGCTGCTCGAATATGTTCTCCTCTACCTTGATGTCCAGTCCCTGCTGACATCAGCCCAGCGAGTCTGCCGCTCCTGGACCAGGCTAATTCAAACCTCTCCAAGGCTGCAGCAGGCCCTCTTCTTCAAGCCAATTCCACCAGAGTGGTGCCCCGAAAAGTTAATTAATCCACTTCTAGCGCGACACTTCACAGGTCTCTTGCCTGCTTCCATGGACCCATATGGTGTGAGAGACGGCAGCTTGAGGCACCCCTGGTCGAAGCAGAGTGACAGGTGCCAAAAGTTTTTCCGCCGCGAAGCTAGTTGGCGCCGAATGTTGGTGCAGCAGCCCCCTGCATCGCTTGCCTATGTGGAAACTTCCCGTCCTCATGGGGATTTGATCTATAAGCGCTATTATCTCCCATGCAATGCCTCTCCAATAACCCATTTGACTGATGATCAGGTCCAGATGGATCTGATAGGGCTACGGATGAACATGCTCTATGACATAGTTCTTGAGTCTTGTTTTGGAGCCTCACGCCGGCACTGGATCTGCTGGGAGGGCCATATGCCTCCAAAGTTTCCTACGTACGTTTTAACAGAGCAGTTGACGCCATTTGTGGAACGGGCAATGCAGGAAGCCGCTGTAGTGGTCATTGATCATTGGCGAAGAAACTGGGCTGCGAGTAGGTTTATCTGTTGCCTAGAAGCAGATGAAGCAGATGAAGCAGATTGTTTAGTCAGCCCTCATACTGATCCCACGCCACATCTGCCTATCAAGACACTGAACAGGGCTGGCTCGGACGTCAGCCGTGATGACTTTGATCCTCGATCCAATCGACTTTCTGCTCTTCGCGCCTTGCAGTATCCCTATCAGGACTGGGGTGTTAATTCTAATTCGACATGGGTGTCTGGTCGTGCTTGCTTGGAGCTGCGAGAGGAGAAGTTCATCCCCAGGGTAGACAGCGACGATGAGGAATGATATTATCAAGTCCTTTATCTGTCAACAACAACATCGAGGACTACTATTTTAGTCTCAGATATTTGCAGCACCTTCCCTTCCACTTCAAACTTTAAGGCTTCACCCAATCCTGCGCGACGACGTAACCGGGATACTAAGTGATCTTATATTCTATTGAATACCAGTATGCAAGACAAAACATTGTATAGCTCTCAGCATTGCGTACCGCGTCTCTTGGCTTGGATGCGGCCAAGGTAAGGATATTAGGCAGGTCGTCTGTTAATTTGTTGATAACTGGTTAGGACAGACCTGGCTCTTGGGGAATTGAACGCTCACATGCAAAATCAAGGAGTTCAGGATCTGTTACAAAGTCATCTTTATCCAGGTTCACACTGACTGCGTGAAATACCTTATGTAGCAACAGGCGCTATGGGGCTGGATGTTTATAGGGTAGTTGGGCGTGCCATCAGAGAAGGGTGCTTGGGCCCCCTTCGAACCAAGCGTCGCGTCGGGGTTCTGTTTTTGAACCCCTCAAGATTGGAGGGCACATAAACGTCACGAACCCATGGCCTGTAGGCGTGTAGTCATTACGCTCCACGGAATCATGTCCTGCCACTGCACAGCCCAGCACAATCCTATCCGGTCTCGCTAAGTTAGTGCACATGTTGCTATAATCACCCGGGTTCTCGAACATGTAGGTCCCCAGTGTCTGGGACCACCACGCTTCTAAGTCATCTTCATATTCCTCCTCGGAGATTTCAGATAGCTCGATGGGCACGCCCTCCAACACCTTTCCCGTCTGCTTGTCGATCTTGGACAGCGGCAAGCCGTCCTTGACGAGCGCAGCTGAGCTCCAGGGGATCCAACTCCAGATGTTTCCATCACAGAGCACAATCCCGGGGCCTTTCATTGCTTCAACAAGGGTCCCTTGGTTGAGGAACCGATCGGCTCATCTAATATACTCTAATGGTACGGATATTAGGCCCTGCACCCAGGAAAAGAGCCCCAAGCTTACTCTGAACCTTCTTCCACCATGCTTTGGAAGCCCTGTCGACTGAGCACACTTTATCTGCCCCCTGCGTATAGCCAATGCCAAAATACACGGTCAGATGCTTGCGGGCCACTTGGTCCATAGCAACAACTCTAGAAATGGCTTGGCTGGCACTGGTTATTAGGGTCTACAACTCAGTATACCACAGTTCAAATGCGGCTCCGATGAGCAGCAGAAGATGGCTTGTTCTTGGCAATATCCTCTTCGTTCCCTCTGCACAAGCATGTTCAAAGTTGTCATTCTATGGTATCTGATAAGAAAATTAAAAATTAAAGCAAGCCTTCTGATTGCCTGCCCCCGGTACTGGCACACGGCCAACAGCCAATTACTGCTTTGGGGAAAGGGAATACAGCCTATGTGGTGTGAATTATAATCATGAGAGCAGGTAGAATAACAGGTCACCGCATTCCCCCACTCATTCCCCAAAGGACTTTGGAGGAATAATGAACGAGGTACCCCCTTCTTTATTAAACATGAAATCCTTCTGTCTTCTATCCACCCCTTCAACTCGAAGTGAACAATTCCGCCCTGCTTCCCAAACTGCTGCCTCTACAGCAACATCAATAGTGCTCACCCACCCCTTTCTCCAGCCCGTATGATACACACTCGCGGGCTTTTCCCATCTCCAAACACAGTCTTCATCTGCAAATAGCGTGTCTGCAGTACTTCCAATTACCTGCACACAGAACAGCAGCACTTCCGTGTCCATATCAGAAGACACATCTTCTATATCCTCTGGTGGTATCACTGATTTTTTAATTTGCTCCTCTAACCTTCTCACTAGTTGGGGAATCGCTGCCTGATGACTCTCAGCATCGTTACCTGTTGGGCAAAGTGCAATAGGTGTCTCCTGGATTAACAAAGATAGATAGTCATGTATCTCTTGCGGGGAGGATCGAGATTGAGGCAGTTTAAGGCAGCTCAGCTCACGGAACCCTTCAATGTAGCTGAGATTATCTATAGATAATCCAGTCTGAATCATTACAGACCGGCTCTGAGCTAGGATAGGATGGTCCCAGTGATGTATCGTGCAGTTCTCAGTAGCCTGTTGCTGGCCTGAGGTTGTGGTGGTGATCAGGACAGTGTGGAGGAAGGTTGATAGGTTCTCTTCTGGAAATATGGGAGGTTCAGTCTAGAAGAATTCCTAAGCAACTGGAAGACAGGCAGAAGGATGCAAAATCACAATATTGCTGATAGTGCATACCATAATGATTGTGCGCCCTTTGCGCCCTTGAGCAGGCCTTTCATTATCAGCAGACGCCATGGTGTTCCGGATTGGGAAAGGATAAAATAATGGAAACAACTATTAGTTTGAGGATTTTCAAGGTGCAAGGCATATATTGATAAAGTGATTACAGTGTGGGAGGATGGTCTGTGTGGGCTGTATTAGTCTAGTTAATAGTGAAGCTTGTGATTCATGAGGAACGATGTTATAGTCCTGCGGGGGAGTAGCCCTTTATAAGATAAATTGTTAATAATGATAATACCACTAGGCCAAAAAGGCGTCTGGGCTCTGTACTTGTCAGTCTAGGGTTTCATATCCATAATCATAGTGGTATAATATTCCAACGGTTGTCTTATAACCAAATAACGCTGATGATGGCAAACAGATAGCCTATGGACAGTTAGGCGACTCGGAAGGATGATTGGTCGTGATGAATGTTCCTCAGTCGTACGTTTAGTTAGGTGAAAGGGCCCCGAAGTGGGAATGGTATGTTGTTAAGCTCACTGAGCAAGTAAACAATATACGGGAGCATTGCAAGCTGTAGGCTAGAACTTCTCTGCATAGACCCCCGTAGCATGATCCTCACAGTCCGACTCGCAATCCGTCTCACAGCCTACAGCGTGGCGCCGCAGAGAACGCAACCCCTGTGCATCGAGATGGTCCAGCCAGCTGGCGTACCAATCCAAAAATTCCGGAATAGAATCAAAGCGCGCCTTGCGGCCGTACAGAACGCTCGGATTGACCATCTCGGCCTTGAAAATAACCACCCGCCATCCCCAGTCCCGGATGTTGGCAGCATCAGCAGCAACATCATCCTTATCATCTGTCCCCAGCCGGCAGTACACATACGCACTATACCACGCTGGGCATTCATACAGCTGGTTATATCCAACGCCGGTAATAAAGCCAGCCCGAGCCACCAGGTCCTCATCAATATACGCCTCCAGCAACTTATTTGATAATTCATCTTCCAGCTCTTGCTGCAAGCCCTCCTGCTCGCGCTTCAGTAGTTCTAGGTCCGCCAACTTCTCGTGTGTCTGTCCGTCATCAAGTCCCTCCAGTTCCTCATCCTTAACCCCGGTCGACCAAGCCGGTGTGAACGGCGCAATCCCGGAGTGCCGGAAGTCTACGTCCACCACCCCCTGCGCATACTTCAGGAACAGGGCTAGCTCGTCACACCGCGGGATAGTCACAGGCTCAAGCTCCCCGCCGTCGTCGTCTTCGTCTTCGTCTCCTGCAACAATTGCATCCGCCTGCCGCTGGCACACACGCTGAACTGTATCGAGGTACATCTGCCGCCACTGCTCCGTGCGCAGCAGGGGCGGGAGCACGCCGTCAGCGGGTTCATGGGCTGGCAGGGCGTTGAGAACAGCAGAGATGTCAACATCAGCAACTGCCGTGTCCTGTGGGATGAGATCGTCCATCCATCGGTACTGGCAGAGCAAGCGGCGCTTCTCCTCTTCGGTTGGTAGACCTTTTGCGTTGATTTCGTTGATGCGGTCCTGGAGGAACTGGTGGTTTGCGTCGGCCATTTTGCTGCGGAAGCGGGTGATGGCGAGGCGCATGGTTTCGTCTGCTGAGGCTGATTCTGAACCTTCCATTGCTGTTGCGTCCGTCATTATCGGTCTTTTTTGTTTGTTATTTGCTTTTGTTGTCTTGTTTTTGAGTGAGGAGAGGGGGAAAGTGAGAGTGAGTGAGAAATTGGGGGAGACTAGACTGGGGGTATTGACCACGTTCAAGCCACACGCCGGCCGGTTAGTAGTTGGGTAGGTGACCACCAGCGAATCCCGGCTGTTGTATGTTTTTGACGTATTTTTTGCTTGTAGGTAGTAGGAGATGCTTGATTGAGTCAAACTCTTCAAATTTGAAGGGGAAGAACCGAGACGAAGTCTGATGCAAACTCTTCAAAGCAGGAGCCTTGCCTGATCGACCGCACGGGAAGAGGAAAAAGAGGAACCGACAACGACGGCAGGACGACGAGTAGAGCCATACCAACAAGTGCAGTCTGTCGAGTGAACCGACGGGCAAGGTACAGACATCTCACATTCGAGAGCTGTGCTAATAGGAGAGCCACAGAAGCATCCATTGTACCTTGGCGCAATTCCTGTATCCAAAGGTCGCTATACGGGACTCCAGTCCCCAGGATAAATAGGATCAGTTCGTCCAGTTCAGCGCCGGAGACACGAACTTTAGGAAATATGAAACGAAACTTTTGGAGAATGTGATATCGCCGTCAAGGTCGCTCGCTGTACGTCTCTCCAAAAGCGGGCGTACATTAATTACAATTTAAACAAAGGGCTGGTATCATATATTATGCTGCTGCTGGAAACGAGAAAGAATATTTGTATTTCCCTTAAGCTAACAATTCTTGATCATGCTATCCTACTGCACCCGGAGAGAACGAGATAAGATCCACACAAATGTGATCATCTCGGAGAGAATGTCGCATCGTGCCATGGTACAGAAAGGAAACCGCTACCGTATAGGAATCGATCCCTCCTCAAAGAGCTCAGCAGGCCGAAATCCACGTAGCTCATCACCATCAACTTCCCAGCCTTCATTTGCCAAAAAGCTATCCAAGTCCCTCTTCAGCTCTTCAGCATCCACATAGCCATATTCCCAGCACTTCCGCACAATATCGCCTAGGTATTCCCTTTCAAGAACCGGCCATTGGTGTTCCACCACCATATGCCGCATCTCTGCATCCTGCCTGTCCCGTTCATGGCCAGGCCAGGACACTGTCATGAGCTGATAGACAAGACATCCCCAGAGAAACAGATCGGTATGAACAGTGGCCACTTGACTATGCCGTCGTGGTATATTGCAGGGATGAAATGGCTCATCTCTACCAGTTCCATTGATATATTTCCTCATTGTCTGACTGTCAATGTAAACAGCGTCAAGAAAGCTGAGTAGTGACAGTGAAAAAGAAGATGATAGCCAGCATAATTCAATCTGCAGATCACCAAAGAGAATGTTTTTTGAGTGCACAAAGGAGAGTGCTGAGGCCAGATGTAATGCCCATTGGTAGATTAGCGGGCGATATTTAGGCGTAATCCGTGTCTGTCCATCTGTGTTGGAGTACATAGATGACCCGTATTTAGCCACCAGACGGTCAACTGTAGTTGATGGCATGTCCAGAATAGGAACCCCAAAGAATGGGTCACGGCGTTGGAAGTGAACAATTCGTGGATGATTTTCGGTAAGCTGTTCATATACACAAGTGGCCTTCCACACGCGCCGCAAGTCCCCAGTCATTACTTGTGGGCCTGAAAATGCATCAGGCTCTTCATATCGCTCTAGATCATTGTCGAGCATGTCATTAAAGTGGTCCTGAGTTAAGAGAGCAACAGAATGGTCATCAATCTGCATCGCTGTGACGTTGTCTATATCCGTTTCAAATAGTTGCTCATCTGGAATGTTGGGTATGCGTGGGTGGCGCATCAGGCGCCTGAGCAGATCAGGACGAGACCCTGGAAGGGGCTGTAGAGTGCGCCCAGCGTTAGTAACAGTACGTGCCATGATGGGCTATAAATGAGAATAGAGAGATTGCCAGTGTCAGAAGGATAGTGTGAAATTATGGACCACTAAACAAATTTCCTAAATGAGTCACGTGTACAATATCCACGTGCCCCTGAAATGAAGTGAGAGAATATTTAGCGCCAAGTCTATGCTATTTTGCTAAATTCACAATAAGCCCCCACTAGGCTGTGCTTATTTATCAACCTAATGGGTGATTTGTTTAAGTTACTCATTAGCCCCCTTGGTATATTCCGCTTCCAATTTATCTACTTGAATCTATTTTTTATTGTCTGAGCCTATTATGCCTCTTGTTCCTTGTCTTGTTTCTTGTTTGTTGCTAGTCTCATGCTCTACTCGGTACATCAGATAGATATTGTCATGTGACTGAAGCTGGGGCCCAAACGTCACCACGAGGCTGAGTTAGCCTGCGTGATATGGCACATCATATTTGTCCTCAGAGCTTGACACTCCAGAGCGGAAAACAATTGCGCACGAAACTAGTTAGTACTACTGTAGCGCTTTGGTGGCCTTCTGAAAGCGGCTATGAGATCTGGCGTGCATTGTCTCAAAAGGTCAGAAACAAGAGACCGTCGGTGTTAGAGAGGTTGGTTCTGAGTGTGGTGAATCGAGGCTCTATCAAGTGGACATTAAAGCTCCGTATATGGAATAAATTCCGTGTAGGAGCAGATTGATTGGAAATGGATATGATGTTCATTTTGTATATGAAGGAACTAGGTAAAAATGTGCATACACTTCGGCCCTTACTTCTTCATTTTTCTCTTCAGGTCTTCAAACAGCTGCTCAACTGCCTCCTTCGCCGCGGACGCATCAGTAGTAATCGGAATATCCGCTTCTGACCATACTTTGTGGGAATTTTTCTTTTCCAATGTACTTTGAAAGGCTGCCCTTTCTTACTCCACAAACACCAATAACTATAGAGCATGAGCTAACCCCACACTCAACCCGCCAAATCCGTTCAAGGGTGCAGCTCTTACAACAAGCATCAGCAGTGAAAACATCAAAAAAACCCCTCTACAAGCAAGATAAAGAATAGTCGGTTGGTTCAGCTACATGTTCCGTAGGCGCTCTGACATCCACTTCCGCAGTAATCAGAATTTGAACCGCAATAATTACTGCTCGAACAGCAGGTTCCAAATGTTGATCCAGCACATGTATAGCCCTTTGCCCCGCCGCAGGTACCATCAGGACTAATTGAGGCACTATCAGCGTCACATGTGCCATATGTGCTTTGGCATCCTCCGCCACAGTATGCGGGCGTTGAACCGCAATATCCTCCCGACGAGCAGCAGGCGCCAAACATAGAGCCGGTGCAAATCATACCCGCTGCGCTGCCGCAAAGCCCGTTGGTACTGACGGGCAACGTTGACGCTGTGGATGATGAGCTGGTGCTGGTGGAGGGAGGAGGAATTGAGGAGGAAGATCTAGAGCCTTCGATTCCAACGCAGACGTAGTAATTGGGCCAAAGGCCGCTGCAATCTGTGCCGACAGCGGGGTTCCAGGCGTAGAAATCATTCAATGAGATGCTGTACTTGTTCGCAATAGCCCAGCATCCGTCGCCAGTTTGAACGTCATAGAACTTGTTGCAGGTGGAGATCATGCCGGACTGGATGGGTGTTGGAGTCATAATACCCGTGGAGGACGGTGTGGCAGTGGTTATAGTTGGCGAGAAGGAAATGGTGTTGGTGGCGGTGGTTGTTGCGTTGCTGGTGGCTACAGAGCCATCGACACTTGTCGAGTAACAATAATACGTACCCAGGACGTAGCCGAAGCAGTCAGACTTGACTGATGGGTTGAGGCTATAGAATGTAGTCAGATCCATCCTCAACAAGGACAGATGTGACGCGCAGTTGAGGATACCGGGAAACCATTTTGTACATCCGGCGGCCTCCCCTGAGGCACGCGGAGAAGGGGGCGCGGTCGAAATCTTTGCTGCAGATGTCGGGCTGGCAAGCGCCACGCAATACGACACGCTGGGCTCAATGGTACAGGGATAATTATATGCAGTAGTGACAGCGCCATTAGCCGTGTTGGTAATTCCATCAGAAGTTAATGTGGCATTGGCTTTGAGACTTGGATTCCAGAGCACGAGCTGCTCGCCGGTAATGTCAAAGCTGATAGCGAGGGACCAGCAGCTTGGTGGGGAGTTCAGACTTGACTTCCACCATAGGTAGTCCCAGCAGTCCGTGCGAGTGTCACTTGCCAGAGGAATTATTGTTACCGACCTATTGGAGGGGGCAAAGAGGTCCTTCCATGGGACGGGCGTACTATTGGCCGGAGTGATACTGAAGGTCGCCGTCGCTGACGTATAGCCGGGATATGTACTGATAGAGCCAACGGGAGCGACACAGTAGGAGGTATTGACCCAGAGATTGGTGCAATTCGCCCAAACTTGAGGGTTGAGGAAGAGGAAGTCGTCCAGGGAGATGGAATACTTAAGTGAGATGGTTCCGCAGTCGTCTCCAGCGACGACACCATAGTACTCGCCACAGTCTGTGTTGGTATTTGGGGCAATATTGGTGGGTTCGGGTGCAGGAGAGGTGAATTTCTCCGTGCTTGAGGCTGAGCTGCTGGCCACAATGTATGCATCACCCAGAGGATTTGACACGCAAATCGTTTGGTTCACTTGGTCCGCCAGGTTGTTGCAGAGGCCGTTGATCTGCGCGTTCCAGGAGTGAAGCTTCGCAAGTGAAATGGAGTTTGCGGTCGCAATGCTGCTGCATGTGTCATTGGCCTGCACGACGTAGGTGGAGCATTGATTGCGAATGCAGAGGGTCCCATTCGTGGGAAAGTCCGTTAAATTGTAATTTAGTCCATTTGCAGTAACGAGATCATGAGTTGCGACGTTCTGTGACTGGCTCACACTAAAGTATGTATCACCAGGTTTAATGGTATACTGTGAGTTGCAGGTATGCGAGCCAGTGGGCCTAGGCGATGCAGGTGTCAGCAAGGCCTGTCAGTCAAAAGCAATCTCCTTCAAGCTCTCTAGACTTGCAGCTCTGGCTAACGTCGCTCTCGGATCGTCAGGACTTACGAAGCGAGGACCAAGTTAGTCAAGGTTTTTGTCGCCGGGGGACCGGTATATTGGCAGCTGCTACTCATAGAGGAATACATTGATTGCATCTCCGCCGGGTCAGGGTCGATGGGTGACTCGGCCTGCATGTAGGCAGTGACTAGGTAGCACTCGTCACATTCCGGGTTCGTTGTCGACTCAACTCCTGTTTGAAACCAAATATTACAATACTCTCCATCGCTAAACCCCACGTCAGATCGTCATGTTGTGATCTCAAAACTCTGTGTCCGGTGCTTACCTTCGTTTCACGCATGTGAGATTGTAGCCATATATGGCCTGATCGATTCGGTAGGTAGCTGGCCATGTAGAGCCAGCTCCAATATCATAGAAAGTCACGTTAGAGGCGCACTGTGCAGAAACGTTGCGCCTGTGATCTACGAGGCTCTGAAAACAGTCTTCAGTGCAGAGGCTATCAACTACCGTCTTATTGAAATTGGGCCAGAGGTCCGAGTACAGATACCCAATCGCCCGGGTGCAGGAGACGTTGGCGTTATACGCGTCCAGACAAGCTTGACTCGCCCCAGTCAACATACTTGAGTCTGCATAATTCAGGGCATAGAGCGCTTGAGCAGAGGCTGTCGCCACCAACGATAAGATTGCCATAAAGAAAAGAGCAAACTTGGCACGCCAAGTGAGAAACGGCCCCGCCATTTTGAGTGGTCCGGTCAAGGGAGAGATAGGTAGCAACGAGGGACGAAAAAGAAAACCAAATGAGCGGCGAAGGGTGGGAGGAATAAGAAATAGAACAATAGAGTCTTAGAGGAGAGGACAATTAGGGGAAACGGTCTTAAAAGGTGATCGCGGTGAGTGAAGACTCGAAGGGTTCTAAAGTAGTCCCAGATATGATCTTCTTTCTTCCCCTTTTGTCAGTCTTCTTAGCCACTTGCGCTGTAGGGGTTGCTTGGCTCACTTAGCGGAATTCGCTAATGGAAGAGTCGGAAAACCCAGGATGTTTCGGGGGATTTGGGGGAGAGGAAACAGGGAGAATGGAAAAGGGAAAAGTGACAAGGCCCAACACTGGTATTACCGTCTGTTCGTATTATGGAGACTTTGTTGAGGGGATTGGATGTGTGCAAGTACCACTTGGGGCATGCCCTAGATCGGCTTGGGCTGAAACATCCGTTGCTTAGTAGTAGTTTATCAGTTGCCTAGTCTTGCCAAGTGCTTGGTTTAGTTTGCACTGGGGAGCACTAGAACACGAGCTCGATCTACAAGATTGGCCTCGATCTACAGTATTAAATGGGTCGGGATCGTCTTCTGCTAAAGTAGTTTTTTTAGCAGGCTCACTCATCCTGACGCTTGAGCCACAGGCCAGTCAAGTGCTTTTACTACAGAGAGAAAATCTCTCAATACCCATCTGGTACCTGAGCGACTGTCTTACTGATGGTTAGGAGACCCGTGCGTAGTAGGTAGAGATGTTTCCACTTTCCAGTTCAGTGATTCTCTTGGCCTTCCTTATGTTCCTTTGTTCCCTCCATTTTCTTTCCGTCTTTCTCCCTCTGGAGAAATTGCGCCTGTAGTCAGTCATTTGTGAAGTTGCTACTGTGCCCACGATGACACTTCACACTCTCTTCAGTTTCCTATTGCTTTTTCCTGTTGTCACAGTCTTTGCATCGGCTCACTTTCATTCCGCCCATCAGCATGGGAGAATTATGGACCACCGTCGGGGTACCCCCGCTCAATCGACTGAATCGATATCTTCTTCTTCTATGAATGATACATTATATCTAGCGTCAGTTCCAACTAGCGACCTTCTGGCTGCCAGAGACCTTGCCATCCGTGCAAGTGGTGGACAATCTAGTTTGTCCACGTCCTCTGGGGACTTCACTTGTGGCCCTGATAAGCCATGTGCCAATGGAGCTTGCTGTGGTGCCAGTGGCTGGTGCGGGTGAGTGCCGCGCTTAGTTCGACATTGAAAATGGACTACTGACGGATTCAACCAGGTACGCACCAGAGTACTGTGGCGATGGATGCCAATCCAACTGCAACGCGACCGCGCAGTGTGGTCAGTATGCAAAGGATCCCGGGGCCTCCTGCCCTCTGAATGTTTGCTGTAGTCAGTTTGGTTTCTGCGGAACGACCAGCGAGTGCGTTGATGCTTATTCTCTTTCCTACAGCCTCTTGCTCAATCCGATTCTGACCATTTCCGTAGCTTCTGTGGAACTGGCTGCCAGTCTGATTGTGACCAGCCAAAACCAAGGGTCCCAGAGGGCAATGTTCGGAGCAGGATTGTGGCTTACTGGGAGAGTTGGAACAGCAACCACGCCTGCGGTACTATGGCTCCAGACGAGATCCCTGTATATGACATAACACACCTGGTCTTTGCATTTGGCTACATCGAACCCGATGACTTCAAAATCACCCTTATGGATGGCGTGGATGCGCAGCTCCTTGACGATGTCAGTTTTCTGAAGAATAAAAACCCTGACCTCAGTATCATGATCGCCTTGGGTGGCTGGACTTTCACTGACCCAGGGAAATGGCAAAGTGTCTTCACAGACATGGTGTCCACCTCCGGGTCAAGGCAGAAATTCATCAAGAACGTCCTAGGCTTTCTCGCCCAGTATGGGTTCGACGGCGTTGACTTCGACTGGGAGTACCCCGGTGCAGATGACCGTGGAGGGAAGCAGGGTGATGGGGAAAACTATACCAAACTACTGCAGGAGCTTCGAGCGGCCATCAACGCTGCTGGCAAAGACTACCTAGTAACCTTCACAGCACCGACTTCATACTGGTACCTCCAACATTTCGATCTGGAAAATATGAGTCAGTATGCGGACTGGATCAATCTCATGGCCTATGATCTTCACGGGGTCTGGGACTCCAACAACCCGATTGGTAGCACGCTTCTCGCGCACACTAATATAACCGAAATTGATCTAGCCCTCGATCTTGTGAGTCATTGTGATTGATCCCTCTGTTGCCCACTGATCCTGGATTAACCACGGAATCTGTAGTTTTGGCGCAGTAACGTCCCGCCCCAGGACATTGTCCTCGGTATGGCCTTCTACGGACGATCGCTCAAGCTCAGGGATAGTTCTTGTTGGAAGCCTGGCTGCCCATTCACGGTGGCGGGTGACGAGGGAGATTGTACCCAGACGGCGGGTATACTTTCCTATAAAGGTTTGATCCTTCCACAAGAGTCCTATCAAGAGCGTGACACTAATATAACGGTGACCCCCAGAGATCAAGGACATCATCCAGTCAACTAACGCTAAGCCCTACCACGACGAGGATGCTGCCGTCAATTATCTAGTCTACGGCCAGAATAATTGGGTCTCCTATGATGATAACAATACATTCCAAGCCAAGATTGACTTTGCCAATAAACGTGGGCTGAGTGGCTTGATGATCTGGGCTATTGATTTGGACGACCCGACACGTTCTGCTCTGAGCGCGCTGACCGGAAACCCGGTAGATGATGCTAACCCCTTGGCTCTTGCAGACCTGGCAGGATCCTCGACAGTTGGCCATTCGACTAGTGACTCTTCCCAGTGTCGGGTCACCGTCTGCGGTGGCTTCTGTAATCAGGCGGAAACTGCCGTTGGCAGAGTCAAATCCCTCTATGGTAAAGATGCGTGAGTGCAGCACGTCTCGTAACTATTGAAACTGAGCCCTGTAACTGACTCTTCACAGATGCAGTGGAGATGCAACCAATTCACGTTGGGTCTGCTGCCCAGCATGGACGAGTATCACCAAAGACCAGTGCTATTGGAATGCCGGCGGTGGCGCCGTGAAGACTGATTGCTCTGGCCAATGTAAAACAGGCGACATTCAGATGTTTTCTGATTCTTGGGGTTGGAAGGGTGACCTGCGTTTCGGTTCATATGATTATAGATGTCTCCGGTAAGGCCTCCAGTACTACAAACGCGAATGAAATTTGGATCAGTCGCTGATTTAACCAAAATAGAGGCGGTAAAGTCTTCTGCTGCAATGTTGGAAATATGCAACAGTACCTGGACATCTGCACATGGACGGAATGCGGAGGTTCGTGTCCATACGACAAGCAGAACGTACTGACCATCGACTCTGGCGGCCCCAAGGGTGCGGGTAAACGGTGCGATGACTACGATCCCAACGATATCATAACCAACCCCGCTGGCTACAGTGATGATGACTATGATCCCAAAAAGGGCTCTAAAGCTCATCGGAAGCTATGCTGTCCCGAGAAAGACTCATTCAAGAACTGTAGTTGGAAGAGCGGCAAAGGTTGCTCGCAACGGTGCGACAACGGACAGATTACCCTGGATCTGGATCCTCAGGGCAAAGGAGGCCGCTACTGTGACAATGGTGCGTGATTTTTGTTAACTTCCATCAGTAATACCTTTCTCATCCACCCTTCACAGGACGGCAGAAGGTTTTCTGCTGTGATGCGCCTGGCAGGGCAAACCAGCCCTTTCTACCTGTCGACTTTGACAAGATATTTCCGCCTGAATACCTTCCCTCTGCAGACGCCCAACCTCAGTTTGAATTGATCAATTTCGGTGGCGCCGCCGGTATAGGGGATGCTCATCCCGATCTTACTGGTGTGGCCTTCTTCCTCATGGCCGGTTCTAGTTCAGCGGTGTCGTCTATGTCTAAGCGGGACAATCCTGGCTTGCATTTTCTCGACTGCCCCGAAGGTATTCTTGACGCTCCGGTTGAGACCGCGCACACTGCTAGGGTGATTTGCGTGGACCGCGATGTGGAAGAGTGCTACCAAGTACAAGAGAATGGTGTTGAAGGAACTATCGTACACATGCCTCGAGAGTGCGGAGGGGGAGGTTATGTTAGGGCTGTGTCTCTGCAGCCATCGCATAACCAGTCTGTCCCCGCCCACCTGGCCTTGCGGAATCCCACGTCCGTGGTGTATGACTTCCGCTTCGACTACAATATGCCTCTGGTCCGCAGAGATGCCGGCACAATTTCTATTCGCATGGATTACTCTAATGTTGCCGGGTACTGGAATGCGGTCGTTAACTCAGCAGGTACAACCTCAGGGGGCACAGACTCGAAGCGCGACCTCAAGGAACTTGTCGAACGGTTTTATTCGGACAACAAGGACAACTGGTTTGCCAAATTCGATGCTCTAAGCCCGGATACAAAGGGTTTCAGTGACCTTTCAAGCAATATAACTATCGACCACCTCCTGTACTATAACACTGAAATGTGTCCAACTTCAGACGGCCAGCAAGGCGAAGGGATCGCGGTGACAATAGAAGGTGCACTCAACGCCGGTTTCTACTACGGTTTCTCGATGATTGCGACGTGGGACCCAAGCAGTACAGTCAAAGTCCATGAATCGGCTGGGTTTCTGAATGTTGATGGCTCGACATCTGCCACATTCACCGTCGCTGGGATTGGAACCCTGGACTCTTCAAAGATGAATGGCGAGACCATCACCAAGTCATCTGGAAAAAGAACCCTGGCAGGTCATTCACTTTATCATGGTTGGGCCTCATTCGTCAGCTACATGGAACAAGCCGTCCAGCTCAAGACTATGGGCGAAACCAGCCAAGCCGTTTCCTTCAATGGATATATGGAGTCAAAGGCTGTGGCGTAAGGACCCATAACCCTCCCTCCTGTAGGGCGAGACTTGCTAATGAAACGCAGTAAATGGGGGATGAAGGGATCGGTTTCGAACGTACACTTTCCAAGCGCTCCATCTGGGATTACAGCTCCGCCACTACAGATCAGCCAGAGAAACAGCATGACTCCTGTCGGCGATAACATTCCGTCATCCGACATTGCTCTTGGTCTCGATATTACATTGGGGCTCAAGGTGACGTTGGCGTTTTCCAGACCTTGGTCATCAGCAGTGGACGGGCGTATGCCTGACATGTCTGTCAAGCAGAGGCTTGCTGCCCACTTTGAGTTTTCGGGTGCCGGAAATGAAGTTTGCCTGAAGTCTAGCATATACCAGACTCAATATGCTCTCCTTGCCGACGGTGAGTATGTTGGTTGGGGTGGGAATTCACTGAATCAGTACGTCACCAAAGGTTCTCAAATGGATCAGCAGTGCTTCACACGTAGCTCAAACAGCCTAGCCTCTCGTTCAAGCTCAGATCTTCTTGCCCTTGAAAATATAGGAGGCCATAAGAAGGAAGGAGAGGAAGAAACAGATGAGGAGGAGGAAAAGGAGAAAAGAAAGAAAAGACAAACCAACTCTACTCCGCGCGGAGATTACAATGGCTTTGAAGGACTTCCCCATTTGACGGACCTTATCAACAGTGAGGCAGCAGGCAGTTCGCGCCTCTCAGTTCCTGATATCAACTGCAATGGCTGTGGTTCTTGTGTCATAAGTTTGAATGCGGATAATGACTGCTGTGATTGTGCCTGGCTGGGGCCCGAGGATCTCGATGACGACCTGTGGGGGTATGTGTCAGTCTCTGGACTCCTGGGCTCTTCGGTATATAAACGAGCTATTGAGGAGAAATTCTCTGATCTGGTTGCACGCGCCGGCGGCATATCCACTGGGACAAAGGAAACCAAATTTTGGAATCCAGCGGTGGATCCCACCCATCCAGACTCCTCTAAAGCCATTGTCATTGAGTCCGAGCCGTATCCGCAATACCCTGATTACTGGAGAAACCCACAGACAACCAAAAACTTCGATACCTCTCCCTATACGGGTGTCAAGAAGTACTTTCACAACTCCAGCGACTCATGCACTTCCTTTGATGTGGCGCAATTTCCCAGCTACGACCTCATGTATCCTTGGCCGAAGCCTGACAACAATGGAAATGCCCACAAACGTGGGGTTGGTTACCATCAACTGTACCAGACGGAGCATGTTTTTGAGGCTCAAACAATTGCAAGATTCTTCATGGCCTGGATGCCATACCATGCGACGAACACCCGGCCAGCTTTGTGGAGCGAGAGATATATCCTACAGGATATTCCTACCCAACCTCTGAACGGCCAGGCCTGGGTCCACCTGATGATTGATGAAATCGGTTCGGTTGATAATCAAAATCGCCTGACTGTCTTTCTCTCGCGCCCTAACTCCAAGAAAGGCAAATTGTTTGGAGGACACGCATCCATCACACAATCAAGGTTCGGCCAAGATCAGAAAGGCGGCGATCAGCTCTTAGAGGCACGAGAAGTGGGTATGATATTCACTTACATGAACTTGGACACAGTATGGCAGTCATTCTGTGACACACATAATGGTGTTATGGACGTGCTTCGCCGCTTTGATTCTTGGTATCAAAGCTACACTGGTACTGTTAGCAACCTGGCCGATGAATGGCCAAAGTTCATTCGAAGTGAGTTGGATATGGTAGTAACACAAGCGAGAAGTGATCTGAAAATGATGAACGAGAAACGGAAGTTTGCAGGAGCTGCTTATACGCAACGATGGGGCACAATCATGGCTGTTAATGGGGGAGAAATTCAGAAGGTTAAGCTGGATCGTACTGATAAGTGCACAAATCTTCCAGCCTCGACCATTGGAGTGTTTACAGGGTAGCAGAGGATTTATATAGCTTTTCCTTGTGCGACTCCCTATACTGTTGTTTCATACTCTACAGTGCCGGTTTATACTCTGGATCGGAATAGTGAATAGATCGGAGCAGATGAAGTACTCTATGACTAGTACAGCTCAATTTATTTCCCTCCTTAAAACTCCTGACTGGTCAAGGCTGTTTCTCACCTGCTCGCGCGAAATTGGTGAGTGGCCAAGGCGCCATTCATCCTTCGCGCTGAAACTAGTCTCGGATTGCCAAGAGGCCGTCAAATCTCCCGTATGGGCATATATTCCCGCTGCACGGTAACTGTTGATCAGCTTCTTCTTTATAACTGGAAGCTAGCAATAACCTCCCTTGCTGAGGCACTTGACTCTACACTACCCTCTTTACAAGGCCGCCCGAAGGAGCTCGCCGGTGGACTTGCTGCTAGATCTATACCTTGGTTAAGGTTAATCCATCACAGCTGAAACTGCCCTAATCGCCTACAGCCTATCTTCAACCCTGTAAGTTCTTACTCTTTGACAGTAAAGCTAGCAGAATCCTGCATCACAAGGGGGATTGGCTGCATCTCACTGTCCCCTACTAGCTCTTGCTGTTGTTTGGTAAGACCACCTCTAGCACCCTGTCCCTCCAGAACCTGCTCCTTTGGTCCATATCGATACCAGGATATTAGATCAGCTTATTCCCGAACTCAACACGATACATTGATCCCACTTCCAAATGTGTGACATGAGAAAAGCCCGCTGCAACTATGGCCTCATCCTCATTAGTTATAAGTAGCTCCCCACACTGCTCAGGATTATCTTTATTGTGTGGCTGGTTCCTGGGACAGGGCCTTAAGGTGAACATCACTTGGTGAGGCACACCAGGCTGAAGGATGATGAAATATCGCTCAAACTGGGGTTTGATCGGGATATCAGACACCCCACCAAAGCTATAATGTTTGGTCAGGTTTGGACGCTTCGCGGGAGCGCCTGTGTCAACGTTGAATAAAGTCAAAGCCGTTTTCATAAAGGGCTATGCCGCTAGGGTCTAGAAGCGTGCCAAATACAAGGATGGTAAGCGGCTTGTCAGGCGTATTCGGGATTTGAGGAAGAGTTGCCTCGAGGGTGATGTGGAATTCATCGTCAGAACCATGTTTGTGGAGTGTGGATGATGAGACAGTAACAGCGACATTGATGTGGGTTGGGGGTGGAATTTCAGAGTCGCCAGAAAGAAAAAGCTTTCGAAAAAGGTTCGCCATGATGATATTTAGACAAAATTGGACTTTGTTAGATTGAATAAATTGAACTTGATGGTTGATCAGAGTTGCTTTTATATTCGCAGGCAAGATCCTGGCTGGTGGCGAAACAACAGGCAGATGCTCTCTTAAGACCTCTGCAAAATTTAGTTAACTTGGTAGCTACTCCTTAGGTCACCAGTCAAATGTTAACTATAATTGGTCTAGGCCTGGAGCCGAAATGAAAACGAATGTGATATGTTTCAATCATAGGGGGACTCAGCCCTATCTATACGTTTGGGTTTTTGGAGATTACCTAATCTATGTTAGTAACTAGTTAAAACGGTTATTTCTCTATATACCTTAACCTAGATATACGTACAAAAATATCATCATATTCTATACTGGCATAGACTAGAGAACACGTATTTGAGTTTCAGCCCCGTTCACTTCAAAATTTGATGGTTAGGGCACCCTCTCTAAGGTAGTACTATCTGTCACTATGGCGGTCCTATTATCAATCCATCCAGTTCATAAAGAAGGGTAACCATGCAGAAATAACTGGCGGCTCGCCCGGGATGGCGACTCGGTTGGGATTTACGTTAGACATCAAACAGTACCTAAGAGTGGGAATACCAACAGTCTACTCCAGTAACTACTCATACTGCTTTGTTAGAGAGATATAGTCTACCATTGTTGCGCTAACACTCATAACTATGTAAGCTTTCCTAGGCTGACTGACCATCCCTGGTGGATTAAAACGAACCGGTTTCTCTTCTAATCATATGGCCCGTATAGCCTTGTTTATGAGCTGTCTTTAGCCACACGCCTCTCAAGTATCTCCTTGGAAATTGTTGCCTAGACCCTACTTCACCACACAGCCTGGCTTGGCTGATCCACCTCATCTGTACACCAGTCCGGGATCCTGCAGTAGTTCTTACCCCGCAGAGATACACGGAGCGCGACAGGGGTTCTGTCTTTTGCCACCTTGGATTGAAGTGGAGGCTCTATCGCTTGTGGTCTGATGTTCTCCCTTGGCTGGCGGACTCCGGTCAAACCTATCAACCAACCTCATTTGTCCTTCTTTTGATGCCCGGGCTGAGGCTTCTCAGGTATCCTGGTCTCGGTCGCCGTCGCGTTGGTCACTATCTCTACCAGCCTGCCACGGGTGCCCTCAGACCTGTCGCCAACCTGTTGCCTCTTTTGCTGCCTTCGATGCCTGCTCGTTGTCTTGGATGCCCTGGTGTGAGGGAATCCATTGAATGCGGAAATTGAGCCCACCTTCTCGTGCTTTGTCTGGAGTCAGTAGGGTAGTTTCCAGGATAATATCCTGATTGTTGGCCTGGGATTTGTGCTGCTTGTAACGCTTGACTGGAAGGTCACTACATCGCGTGACCAAGAACTTTGCCACGCGCTATACTAGGGACCGACGACGACGGCAGAGACGAGTAGAACGCTTCGAAATGGCCTTGACGGAACTGGGAGTGCCTCGACCGGTATCAGAGGCAGGAGCTTCGGCAGCAACACCAGACGATGGTCACTCTCGCTACAGGAGTATATGGACACAACTAGGGCTTTTTGGTCATATGATTCATATCAGTCATTATAAAACCAAATTATCTCTATAGTACAACTATATACAGATAGTCCGAACGCCGTCTATAAACTTGAATCATTAAACCGTCTACATACAACATTAAGCTGGCTTATGGCCGGTTAAGCTGCTCTTTACGGTAGAACAGGAGGAAGCCAAAGCTATATCCAGTTAGCATATAGCCCGTCAGAATATAGCGAGACAGAGTCTTACCTGGCCAAAAGCTGGAAGAACAGGGCAATCCAGAACCACGCATTGGCAATCTTATCCACCGACGTGCCGACATTCGGCGAGATACCGTCCGGCCCGAGTCTATTCGGTGCAAATCCGCGCGCGCAGATGGTAGCGATCGATCCCACGGCCTGCGCGGCCAGGAGGACAAAGCAGACATGCACTCTTGTCAGGGTCTGCAGGAGGATCATACCTAGACCAACCTGCTGGATCTCATCGAGGACGCCGAGCCAGAGCCATAGACATCTGGAGACGATGGCACCGGACGTCAGGCTCCCCGCCCAAGGGAGATAGTAGCCGATATTGGACGTTCCCCACCATGTTTGCGCCCACCGCGGGGAGCCCAGGCTGAGTCCGAAGACGGGGAGGATCCAGCTGTGCTCCTTGGACAGCGCGCGGAAGACAAAGAGAATGAGGACCCAGAGGATGATGAAGAAGCCGACCACGAGGATGACGACCTCCCATGTCGTGGCGTGTTTGGAGGACCAGAGGAACGACCAGTTGCGGCCGAAAGCGGCGGCGAGGAACCAGTTCTGCACGATAACCATGAAGAAGAACCATAGGACAATGCGGCGACGGAAGAGCGACGTGTAGAAGAAGAGGATCCGACTTGGCGCTTGGCGGTAGTATTTGGGCAGACCCAGGGCAAGGAGCACGCCGATGAAGAAGCATACCGCGGCAATCGGCATCACTACGGCAGTGAGCCTCCAGGTGCTCAGTGCGAGGGTGGATACGCCTCCAATTTCCGTGGTGGTGACTTTGGAGCTCCAGTACCATAGCGCGACAGTGTACAGCTGTGAAATTCCCTGGATGAGACTGGCGCGGAACATCCAATCCTTGACGGGGACGGCGCCCTGGTCGCCGAAGTTGAGGGCGAAGAACAACGAACCGCTGGACGACGCCGCGGCGTAGACGCCTGCAGCAACATTTTGAGCCCATCCTCGCCCAACTGCCGACAGTCCAAAGGGAGACACGCCGATTACGATGAACGCCAGGCAGTATATGAACCATGGGAGACTGAGAACGATCACCGCTGGCAGACAGGCGTACATGAACCACCATGCGATTGATGAGACGCAGTAGATCGCAGCGATCACATACAACTTGGTTGCTGTCTCGCCCACCTGGCCGACAAGCAGCGTAATTTGAGCGGAGTTGGTCGCAATGATCTGTCCAAGGCCTAGGAATAGAGCGTAGACGGGCCAGTTTCCGATCCGTCGTCGCATGAATCGCTGGACGGCCATAGGGCGCCTGTACCCCAGCCGGGAAAGCCAGCGATCGATCTCGTCGGAGTCGCTCGGGTCCGAACCGGCCGTGGCGGTCGAGAGGCGGTTATACTGCGTCTCATGGTCGAGCTGGTCCGGACTAGCCGAAGAAGAAATAGACTCCTTGGCGTGGTGTTTCTTGAGCTGTGCGTCGTTGTACATATTATAAAACTTGCGCTCGCTCTTCATCAAGTACGTCTCGATGCAGCAGTCCGTCATCGAGTTCTTCTTGTCCAAGTTGTTGAGCAGTTGCTCGAACCGCCGGGTGAAGTGGCCCATGCTATCCGTAAACGTCGGATCAACCTTTTGCAACTCGAAGACTTGCTTATTGTGGTCGCCCATCACCGACGGCAGAGACAGGACGGAGACATTGCGGGAATGAACGAACGGCATGCCCTCGCCGGAATTGAGTGCCAATTGAAATGGGTATTGAGGCATATCAGAAGGCGTCCTCGGCGCTGGAGACGAAGCCCGCGAGACGAAGTACGGTGAGCCTGGCATGGAATGGTACGGCGGGGTAATGCTGTTCCTATTTCCGTTTCCGTTTCCTACGGATTCGCCAGTGTCTTGATATTCAAGAGCGTGACTGACTGCCCTCATAGCCTCATCAGTGGAGATATAGTCCACCCGGTGCGAATTAGAGTCATCCTCATCGGCGTCGGCGTCGGCGTCGGTGGCCTCCTCATCCAGCTG